AGAATGAGTAGGACTGATTGGAAAGGCTGGCATTTTGATTTGTGAGTTAATACTTTTGGCAAGGGTTTGTTTTAGTGCAAGACTTGGCTTGTGCTTTGGTGAGGGCAAATCCTGAGAGATGAAATTACAAACTGTATCATTTATCATGATTCAATAGCAAGAAGTGATCTAAAAACTATAAAAGAAAAAAGTAACAGTGCTATGATGACATTCAGAGTGACAGCCTTGCCACAGTGGTGAAGGTTGCAAACTGTTACTGCTGGTTTTAAGAGAAAAATATTAAAGCCCATACCTTTAAATGACAGACTCTTTTCTTTGGAATGACAGAAATAAGACTTTGATATGGAACCCATGACATTATTTTAGGCAGTCACTTCTAGTAGCACTTTAAAAGTAGTGGCTTTCCCTGGCTCCAGTAGCTTTCCCTGTTTGGTTTCTGCATGTTTATTTGAGCGAAATGAGGAGTGTACATGCAGCTGGATTCCATAAACTAAATTAAATAGGTCTGTTTAATTAGTCAGGTGATCAAACCTCTGGATCTGAACTGAAGTGCACCCACTCCAGAGAGGCAAGTGGTGATAATAATGTTTTGCAAAACTTCTCAACTATTGTCTCCTGCCAATGAGGAGTCATCAACATGAATTCATCTAAGGGTTCTAAGAAAATGTTATCTTTTTCAGTCAGCTGCTCAGTCTGCTATGACCTCTGCTGGGCACAGTGACCATGCTGGTTACTACCAGGCACAATGTTTGTCACAGCATCCTGGCTGCTGCAGGACCCTGCCACACTGAGCAGTTTGAAGAATAGATTCAGGTTTTTCACGTAAACCATAAAGCCATTTACTTACCTGAAGGCTCTAACCCTGATCCCACTATATTCAGTTGGAGCATTGTCATTTATTCCCATAGGACTATTACCTACAGTAGATTTTGCTGTATGTCGTTACATGTTTTTGTTAAGTCCTTTATTTGGTTTTTTTGAGACATAAAACAATTTTATATATATTTTTAATATGTTTTACAGCATATTGTTTAGACTAATTTGGAATTTGTTTGTATCCTAATATTTACTATAAATAAAGATGACCTTAAATTCATAGGTCTGATAGGCTTGTAATTATTTGCGTGCTCTCATTTGCCTCTTGTGCTGTGTTGCATGATGAAAATGGTTTAAATCAATTTAGTTGAAAATGCAAAAAGAGTTTGCTTTATTTGGCCTCAATGAATTTATTACAAATCTTTCAAATATTTGAATTGTTTTTCAAATTTCCACTGGTAAAAAAGGTTTTGTGAAGGAAAAACTTTTACATTGTTCTAGATTGATTTACCCAATGGTTGCTCTCTCAGTTTACAGCAGATATGTGACTCAGTAGAAAATTCTGTAGTTGACACGCATGGACGTGTGTGTGTGTGTGTGTGTGTGTGTGTACATGCATCATTTGCAAAGCAGAACTTTCAGAAAGCAGTGAGACACAAAGTAAAAAGAGTATATACTTTTTCAATATAATATTAATTACATAAGAATGTGTACTTTTTCTGTATTGGAAAAAAATATATACAGCTATTATCTTATCAATGACCTTGAAAGTTCTACCTGTTCCTTTTCAATCAATCTGATTTGCTGTTACATTTTATAAGTAGCAGGTTAGAACAGGTAATTAACTTCCAGAGAATACATTTTTCTTAAGTAATGCTTAAAATAATTATAGAGTATGGATTCCTAATAGTCAAATATTTCTCGCAGTGTGCTATAAACATAAATTTTTTTGTCTTTGAGAGCTTTGTATTTTTATTTCTTGAATCACATTTGTATTTTTTCTTTTTCATTTAGGAGACATTCCAACATATTGAATGAATTTCTGTTTTTTTGAGAAGATGTTTTGTGTCATGTAAATTGTTTTAACTGCCTGATAGATATTATTTCCATTTATCACTTATTTTTGACCATGATTTTTATTACATATTTCTCCACATTCCTCAGTAAATCAATCTAGCTGTCCAGCAAATCAATGGATTTCTTCCTTTTTCTTGTTTAAACAATTATGGTTGTATTAATTATAATAGCTTTACAAATCTGATGCAAATCCAAACACTGGCCAGCTGTCTCTGGATTGTTTTTGATGTTTCCTGAAAGTCATGCTGGAATTGACAAAACCAGAACAAGAGATTCTACTATTCTCAGCTGACTGTGAGTCCAGAGAAAGTCTTATGACCACATGCTGATATGATTCATCCTATAAATTTCCAGTCCTTAGCAAAGGCGCCTAACACAGTAATTCATGCAGGACGGAGGGACTGGGCCTGGGAATTGCTTGGAACACCACAGCCTGGTCCATCCACAGTTCTGTGCTGCCTAGCTGCTTGTGAGCACATAGCAAACACATCAAGCCTGAGCCACATCTCAAAGATGGGAAGGAAAGATTCACAGCTCTCAAAGCCCACCAAGAACTCATTCCTGCTCCTGATTTCCATCTCTCATTAAAGACACAGCCCAAGGGGCATAGTCACTATAATCATACTGAACAAATTCCTCTGGATAGGCTCAGCCATTAAAGAGTGTGAACACAAATTCTTGTTGAGAGGCGAAAGGCAAAAGATGAAAAGTGGCTGCTTCCTGTTCCCCTATGTTATAGGCTGACATTACCATCAAGAAGTTAATGATGCCCTTGGTAGTGATTCTGTGATCTGAACTTCCACTATAAGGTCTTGTTGGAGATGATATATGGCCTTCATATCCCCTTTATATTGGGTTCCTTCCAACTCAGCAAACTCTAAAATTCTATTTTATATATCTATATTTATAGATTTATAGGTCTATAGATTTATATTTATATATACAACAGCATGAAGACTATTTTACTAACAAGGGAGTAATGTAAAATATATTATTTATAAAAAAAGATAGATTTTGAGAAGTTTAAAGTCCTCGCTTGCTTGTCCTTGAATTAAATATAATTGAGGTCTATTACATGCTGTCCTCATTTGGCAAATATCTAGACATTTGTTTTGAAAAAAGCATCAATCAAAACTGATGCTGTCCTTTCCATAGTCTAAAGACCAATTCTGCTGACAACACAGTCATGAAAGCTGCAATTCCTGCTCACTTCTTTCTGAGCCAACAGTATCCAGACTGTAGCAACAGCAGCTGCATATCTTCCCTGGCACAGAATGATTTAGGGTGGAGAGCAGATTCTTTCCCCTTCAAATCACTTCAGAAAATTCTTGGCAGAAAGTCAGCTCATTTGTTTTGTTTGAGTAAGGAGGCCTGATTTATCAGTACAGAAAAAGTATTCATGCACTGTGCTGAATTCCATTAATTAAGTTTCGGTGTCCCAGACCAATTGACTTTATTATTCTTCTGCTCCAAACATTTTTTAATTGCATATATAGAATTTCATGTCATTTTAATGCAAATATAGAAAAATCTACAAATTTGTGGCAATGTTTTCTATTTCTTTCTCCACTGCAGCTTGTGAAGTAGTTTGCGATGCAGTTTGTGGTACATGAAAGCACTGATCACAGATTAGATTTGGAAATAAATTCCTTTTTTGTTACTTTTTATTTTTTTCTGAATTGCTGGATCTACTAAAGATATATGCCTTGTTTTAGAGGTAAGACTTGTATTCTTGTCTTATGCACTTATAAATTTTTATTCAATTTTTCTAAATTCATACTAAATTATTTCTAAATTAACCTATGAAAATATTTTTTAAAGTAATAATATAAGGTTGTCTGGTATTCACAATAGAGCAAAGTATTAAAATCATCTAAATTCTGCATTAAATGAGTATAGGATGTTCTGGGATATGGTCCTTTGGTGTTATTTGCAGTTCAAGAAGTGTGGTTTTATAAAAAAACCACAAAGTTTATTAATTTTATGTATGAATGCATATGCACATTTACATATTGCAGACAGAGCTACATTATATCTCAGTTTTTAAGATCATGATGCCTGAATATTTTCCATAATTCTGAAGTGTTGACATCAGATTTTTTTTTTTTTTTTTGTCCACTCAGCAGGAAATTGACTGTATTTCTGTATCATACTTACTGGAGGAACAGCCAGCTGAAGAGTGAGATTTGCTGTTGTGCAGCATGAAACTGGGAAGTCATGCAGAAAATCAAGGTATGACCTGTTTGAAAGATAAAATGGCAAATACTTCGAATAGAGTAGGAAGGCAGAAACTCAATAAAGCTTTCAAAATCTTCCCTTTTTCTTTGGCAGAATTAATCTTGTCCTGCTACAATCTGGCTTCAACTGTTCCCTCTATTTTTAGTTACTGATCCTAGCCAGGTCCTCAAATATCTCAGAGCTGGTGTTGTTTGTGTCTGATGTAAAACTGATACAGACTTGGTTGGCATTTTCATTCATGTTTCATAATCTTCTCTAGTGCATACATAAAGAGAATTCTTTGGTGTGTTGGGAGGGGATATTTTTTTTGTTGTGGACTAGACTGATCTAGTCCCCCCATTGTTTGACACTTAGGGTGCTCCTCATTTGACCATAAAGGAAGAAATAGAAACATTTTAATGATACTGAAGTTACTTATTTACATTAGTTGCAGAAAAGAATCCCAGTTAAGATCAAGAAGCTTCCCCTTCAGACTTGTTAAGGGCAATCGCAGAGTTTCTCTCTTATTTGTGTATTAAGTCCTTCATACAATCTGTATGCCATGAGAAAGACCCTATGAGATAGAAGTAGTGGTTTAATTGGCCCTTTGAGAAAAACATTAATTAAAAGCAAAAGCCATTAAAGATCTTTTCAAATGTTGTTGATACAAATCTTGGTTCCACAAAAGAGAAAGAGTATATATGTAAGACATTACAGGAGGTTTTTATTGATCAATTAAATTAAAATAGGCACAAATCTACCAACAAATTTGTGAATAAACCCATTAGTATTTCCTTATGAAGTACTTGTATCTCTAATTACATTACTTTTTTCCTATGGTGATGTATGTAAGGAGGCTCATTAATAAAATTTAGTACATCTGATAAGAGTTAATTTTTGAAATAAATTTTTCTTCTTTTCTATGTATCTTTTCAAGCATCATAGATTCTCAGATTTAGAAAATTGGAATGTAGTTGTTAATTTTGGTTCTGTGTCTCTGAGAAATGCATTCAGCAATCCATACAATATTCCTGCATTCTTGTTCCTTTAACTTCACATAGGCATAAAATACTCCGAAATGAAACTGGTTATTGAATGCAAGCACATTCAGCTTTACCTGTAGAAAAGATGAAACAAGTGTTATGATAAAACATCAAGGAAGGTAAATGTGATTTTTATATGGTAGCTTTTATGTTCAAGATGTCTTGCAGCTTTGTAACCATGATTATATTTAACAATCTCTTGAGTATCACTCTAATTGAAATGTCATCTGTGGAATAATTTTGGTAATAGACTACAGCAATTTTACAGGAAATAAAAGACAGTGGTGAAATACTTTAGTAGATTACTCAAAAGAAATTTAATTAAATGGTGTTTAAGAGATAGCTTTTTGGATAGGATTGATAGCTCTGTAAAGAGTCTTCAGAAGAATGATACAGGATTAATTTTACATAAAAAGGTAAATTCTTCTATTTTGATTTAGCCAAATGTTGACAGCCATCAAAAATCTATGTTCTTGAATAGGAAGCAGCACAGTAGAATCAAAAGCCTGGTACCTCATTCTTGTTTTAATTCTTATTCCATGTGAGTAGCATTCATTTTTGTATTTTAAGGCTAGAAGTTTTACCTCATGTTCAAAAAATGCATCTTCCAGTGTCTTTTCTCCAGTGCCACTCCCTACACCTTCAAACACAGCCTTGTATTCCTAAAAGTACAGACAACCACTTCATGGAAATAAGGTACTTTTGCATTCTGTGCAGCACAGACATAGACACTTTACATTACTTCATAAATTAATCTTTGTTAAGTAATCTTTCTGTATAGAATACCTCCTGTATAGATTACAATTCTACATAAATCAAAAGTTAAAAGCATATAATCAGCAAAAGAAAGAAAAATCAGATTTGTTCTTGTATTTCTTATCATAATTTCCAACAATTTCAAGTAATTTACTGAAGGCACTAAAAGAGGCTTATTGTGGGATGACATGTGACCTTTCACTCCTTTGGGCAGAGAGCACTAAATTTCTTGTGCAAATAGTATCCCTCAGAACCAGAGCTCTAAATGGAGCCAAAATACTGAACTCTGATCATCAAAATACTGAACTCTGATCATCAAAGGCTGCTCCTTTGTATTTCTAGTAGTCAGCTGGATTTGCTTTACTTGCATTAATATTGTATCCAAATCCATTAATCTGATTTTTCATCCTGGAATATTCCATGCAGATATATTTGATTTGATTTCTTAGGTGTTATGTTTCTGTGTAATTTCATTCCGTGTGTGTGTGGTTTGTTTTTCCCTTAATGTAGGAGTGTAGTAGAGGTCTACAACAATGGTTCCAAAATTCATCTAAATAACCCACCATGTCATGAACAGTCTTGCTCCATACCTCACTGACATGATAACTTTTGGTTAAAATGTTATGCTTATGCATAGGAGCAGATGCACAGCTCCACCTTTGTGAGTTTTTTTTTTTTTTGTGGAAAAATAAATAGACCAGACATTTTTTGTGTACCTGCTTAGAGGTAGTTTAAATATTATAATTAGACAGAGTGCAACAGCATACAAGAGATTAGTTAATCTAGAACACTTGATCTATTAATTCATAGATCAAGTGTTGCAGATTAACTAATCTTTAATAAAAGCACTATTTGCATCAATATTCACATTTTCATCTACTTCTTTGAATCAATTAGTGATTTAGAGAAAACATTTCAGAAGGGAATTTTTAGGGTATACTGGCAATAAATCAGGTTTTACTAATCAATGACATTGTTTGATCAGCTGAGTTTAAAATGCTGTATGGCTGTGCTCCAAAATCTTGGAGGCAGAAGAAATGAAGTGAAACTCAATTTGGGGAGAGTGAATGGAGTAGGAAGAGTTTTATTTACTAGATGTGATTTGCTCTTACTTAAACATCCTTGTAAGAGGAACTTTGTACTGCAGTAATGTAATAATGTCTTATCTTAATCTTATCTCTTCATATCAAAAGTCTTTGATCCCATACACTTTTTTATGGGAACTTTAGTACCTCTGCTGAGTTTTTTCCTCTTGAAAATTCTTTTAACTTACATGTATACTCTTAAAAATTTTGCTGATGTCAGGCCATGTTAATTAGCTATTTTTATATTGGCTTTTTGCTTTAACAAATTAGTTTACATACTGCATAATATTCTGCAACACGCTTCACTTGCTCGTAGTCATCTGCATTGGCCAACAGGTGTAAGCCTTCTGGATAAAGTTTTCCACAAGTTGGATACAGCTTCTCTCGGTCATCTTTACTCAGCTCAGTGCCAAAAGAATTAATGGTGATGATAAAAGCCCGTCTGTCTGCCTCAAACTTAATATGCAAAACAAAGAATAAAGAGGTGCCATTAGACATCTCATTCTAAATTAGGGTTTTTTTTTAGTAAGTCAAACTATGGAAATTTATTTTTTTTAAGAAGTCAATTTGAGAGCATTGGAAACATACCTTATTTTTGAAATTGCAAATTCTTCTTTGCAAATATGCATTAAATTCTAACTAGAAAATCAAACAAGATTTTGCAACTACAGCTTTTATTCAGTGATTTTTTGTTATTTATATTTTTTGTTCTAAAAATATAATTTCTGCTGCTTCTTTATTTCCTTCCTTATTTACCCAGATGTTGACAAGAAAAAATGTCTTCACACCCGCATGCATAAGATTATGAAATAATGATCTTATAAATAAAACTAACAAAGGAAAGGGCCAAGAATCAATAGTACTGCCCATAACTCAAAGTGCTGTTGATAGTCAAAGTTGAAGGAAAATCCTAAAAAAAGTGTAGTTTCTCAATACACATATTTTAAATGATACTTTGACAAGGAGGAGGGAGCTGCTTACTTGCCAAGTTAAAGTTTTAAGTGATTTAAATAACAGTTAATTTTTAATACATAGAATCAAAGGCTATATTTCTTCTATCAGGTTTAGATGCCTGTAGTATCTGTATTTTTACTGCAGAAGCAGTCTGAAAGGCAATCCAATGTTGAGCCCTTGGGTTCTTATTTTCACAAGGCAAAATTTCACTTATCATTCTTACGGTATGACTTAAAATTGCAGTAGTAAATAAAAAAAAATCATTTCTTCTGTCTGGAGATCTAAATTGACTGTGGTTCTAATTTTTTCCTTTATTCCTTACTTTCATGTTTTAAGAACAGCAGAGCCCTTGCTGATTGCAGGGATTACACAGGGAAAATCTTCCCAAGTGTATATATAGTATACACACATTTTAGACAGCTTACAAAATTTCTTATGCTGTGAATATTTGAGCTAGTTCAAGAGAGAGGTGCTCTTTTCATTTGAATAATAAGGCTGCATTTGCAACACTAATCTGCCACTTTAGCCAGTAAACACGTATTCTCATCTACTCTTGTGTATGGGAACGCAAAATAACAGGAACTTGCTACCTGCTGGTGCTGACTTCTAAGTAAGGAGAAGGAGTAAATAGTAAAGAAGCAATGAGAAGAAAATAAGCGTGCTTGAAAGGATTTGTAGCTAATGAATAACAGGGCCAAACTTCACTTCCTTAATTGATAAAATAAGCCTATTAGACCTACTGAAACAATTTTAGAAAGACAAATGCTTTCTTTTTTCAACTTGTTAAAGCCACATAGAATCTAGGTGTTAGATGTGTAATATTTTGTTGATAAAAAACATTAGAAGCAATTGCAACTAATGGTAGCAGGTGTGGGCTGTGCTTCTGATGGCTTCCAGTTTGAGAAAATTTTCACAGTAACTCCCATCCACTCAGACCTCTCAATTAATCAAATTATTGTCACATGAGGGTCTCTACAGTGAATAAGGCCATGAGGCAATTACTTAGTGAAAGTCCATCTGATTGCTGCGGGTAGAGGTGGAATCAGGGGATGATTGATTCCATTTCCTTAGTGCATGTTTGCATGTGGTTCAGAATTTAGCACGGGGCCATGCTAGCAGACAGAACTTTAGCTGCAGTGCAGTCCTTCAGTTTCCTGCCAGATTCAGGGCTAAACAAGCAGCATTTGCTGTCCATGGTGGAAAAGAGATCATCAGTACTCTTAATAAGGAAATTTGGCACATGTGGTGGTCAAGGAGCTGGGGAGATAAATACCTCAGCCTCATCTGTAGGGTCAGGTTGGTAGTTTTACATATAAGATTACAAAATAAATAGCAAGTATTCTTTTCAATAATTAAACTTGTGAGTTTTTTGTGACTCCAACCATTAGCAGCCTGTTCTGTGTGTCTCTTCAGGTTAATAAAATGTTATAGAAAAGGAAATCTTCTATAGAAAAGTTTAGCTTCCTGAATGATTGGCATTAGATAGGGATTTTAAAGAAGCTTATCATAGGCTAAATTGTTACCACTGATATAAAGAGAGTTTTACCACATGCTTTAACTGATGTTAGTAAGTAATGTGCACTGAGCATGAATTTATGTTTAAAAACAAACTTTCTGAAAAATCTGAATCAACTATGCCAGACAATCTCTTGATTTTTATTTTTAAGAAAAGTCAAAATACTTATTTTCTATTCAATTTAACTTGATTAAGAGCATTTTGTTTAGAGCATAAATTAAAACATTGTGACCTGCTTAATGAAAATAGGAAATTGCAATCCCTTTTAGGACATTATTTTGTTAAATGTAATTCAGACACATTCTTCCCTCATTAATGAGCTCCCAGGGTTATTATCTCTCTTCTAAATGCAAACTTTCAGTATGATGTCATCAGACCTCATCAGTGAATTTTTTTTTGGTTTCCAGGGTGTAAAATTGATTATCCAGAAAAAAAGACTCCTGGAAGCAAATGGGTGGTCTGACTGTCAGCCTCTGCAAAGAATTGTGATAGACTAAGTGAGCAAAAAAAGAAAATGGGACCTGAATGCTGAGAATTCAATTTTAGAAATTTCTGTATCTTTTATTAAAAAAAAACAGAGACAAAAATATCATTCACAGATGCATGTATGCTTTGGGGGGAGGACATTAGGAACTTTGTATGCCATGGAAAAAAATATTAAACTTTGCTTAGTTGAGGTAAAAATATAACACAGAATGTTCTATTTTTATATGACACTAATTCCAAAGGTCACTCAACTCTAACCTCAATCACTAATTTTAATAGGAAAGTAAACAAACGTATCAGTGCCATGAAGCTTGAAGATTATTGATTAGTAAATAGACAGTAATGCCAGGCTTTAGCTATCCCAAAATCAATAATCAACATTTTTGGCTTTTCTACATAGTGGAGAGAAATGTTAAAGGGCAACAAGTTGTGATTAGTGAACTATTTCTTCTTTTCTGCTCTCTGATACAGAAAAATATTAACTGAGACTGGCTCCTCCTAAGTAATGGTCTAGCTGCTTTTCTAGTCAAAAGGTAAAAGTCATCTTTGAATACACTATTCATTACATCTTAGAAAAAACAGGTATATTTAGAGGAGAAGCAAACATTTCACAGTTACCTTTGCAAATTGAGAGAAATTGAACAGGAAGAACAAAGTGAGATAATTATGAAAACATTGTGGAGTACTTTAATGGATAAAGATTGAATTTTTCTTACCTCAAGAATAGGTCTCATTATTTCTGCTGTAGTACCACCTTGTTTTTCACAAAACTTATAAAATGCCTCAAGGTAAGACTACATGAAAGAAGAAGAGAAATATTTTAAATGCTGCTTAAGACCTGGACCGGGATTGCACATAGCCATGAATCTAATTTTTAAATACTTCCATTAACTTTGATAATTCTACCTATTAATTTAAATTTTAAGTATGTGCTTAATTACTTAGTTCAGATGAAAGTTGAAATATTCAAATGCAAATGTCTTGTTTTTACAATTTGAGATCAAATGTTTCCAAAAATTGTAATAAGAAAAATATTATGTTTTACTTGCTCTCTAAAGAAGGAACTTTTTGAGCTCCTTTGAGCTCCCACTGCATAATAAGCAGATGGCTAAAGGAAACTCTTCATTTATAGTGTGTGGAGGAGGGGATTTGGGCATATGCCACGGCTGTTGGGCCAGCAGGATGAGGATACACAAACTAATCCCTACTGCTCTACCCTAAACCCTGGATTAGGACAGAACAGCAGACAAAGCTTCTGTAATACTGGCCTGCAGAGTCCTCTGGTCTATTAAGGATTCTGGCATCTTCACCCATTTTAAAATACCTGTACAGGAAGGACATGAAATATATCCAAGATGCTGTATGCTGTTCTACCTGCTTCTCAATCTCCCAAAATACTGCATTAGAGAACATTTATGTTAAAATGCATTTGCTACAACTTCACACAATCTTGTTAGGAGCTGTCGCTAACTATGCAATTAAGTGAATTTTAAGTAGATTCATCTCAAGGGGGATCTACTGCACAGAATTATGCATTAGGTTCTATATAGTGGTATCTGATAGAGCAGAAGCAATTGATCACATTGACAGCTGAAGTAAAGGAGAAATTATCTATTAATAATTTATTAGTGTTTGTAGAATAGTCCTAATACTTAGATGAGCAAGAAGAAAAAAAATAGATTTGATAAGTGTTAATATATGGACATCCTCACAGGATATAGAAATCAAATATGTATGTTACTAAATTGGAAAAAGTGTGTAGTATAGTAGTGCTGTGAAAGAATTAAAATACATTAAAAAATTAATATATGTAGGCATAATTGATGTTGTAATGAATGAGAGAATTAGTGAATGCTTTAAGCATTAAAAATTGGCTTTGGAATTTAAAAATATAATTTGTAAGACAAACAGAATTTTATTTTCTTTTCTCCTAGTGCAATCGGATCACTTTAAAAATACTTCCTGCAATCTGGGGAATTCACTGTAAAAGAAAGATGGAGAAATGGATTGGAGTATGTATAGCCCTTAAAGAGACCACTGTAAGAGTAGTGACCTGTGTGCCAAGAGTTGTAAAGTACTTTGAAAATGCAAGGCCCATGTTAGATGCATATCCTTGCAGCACTGTGCTGTAACAATGCGAAAAATTATTTTTAAAGGAAGAAAATTATACTAAATCCCTAAGTAAAAATCATGTTAGCTAGACTCAAAACCATTAGACCCTTTCAAACCTCATCTTCCTTATAGAAATAAAGATAGATGTTAGCCAAAACCAGTCTCCTCACTGAGGAGCTAAAAGTTCTCTGGCATTTGGTGGCTGAGTTACTCATAAACAAATCTGGATCTAGATATTAGCCTGCCATCTAGAGCATTTTCATTAATGAAGTATTAAATTAGAATTTGGATGCAGACCTAAAATTTGAAAAGTCCCCAAACAATGGAGTAGAAATGGAAGCAGCTGTGTTTCATTTCAGGACTTGAAATCAACCAGATGACCTTAGACAGCTTGCTTTATATCACCATATTTCTGTTTCCCCATCCATAAAACAGGGTTAATGATACTGACCTGCTTTCCTGAGACATTTGATAAACCCCAAATATTATAATTTTGGTGAAAAGACTTGCCTTGTACAGTTTGTTGCGCATTATTTCGATGTTCATTTCATCAAGGTCATTTTCAGACAGGCAGTCTTGAAAAAAAGCAGCTGAAAGCAGAGTTTATAACATAGCAGTGTAAATCTGCATGCTGATAATATACATCTCCTGTCTATTGCTCACCAGTGTGTGAGCAAGGATCCAAGGGTTCTGTTGTACAAGAAAGGGTGATATAATAGAGAGGAAGAAAAATCCGCTTGATTTTCCCCTTATCCTCCTATCCCCTCCTTTTTAATGAGAATCTGCAGTGAGGGGAATCAATCAGTGCTGCAGCCAGAGCCCATGTCTCCAGAGAGAATCAAATGGGAATGCTGATGAAAATACTAATCTTCTCTAAAGTTTATAGTTTGGATATTATGGAGATTTTCTAGTAAGGAACATAAAAAATAATTTTTGTCTGAAATCATGTGAGTATTCTGCAATTGTTAAGGAGCATCCTCTTTCCTCTTTTCCCTTTTCTTCTTTGCACATGTAGTGTGGGAAAGACAACAGGTCGCAGCTGATAAAGGGCACATGCTTTGTCCTTGACCACCTGTGGTTATTGGTCCTCTGCAGAACTAGCTAAAGAGCAAGCTTTTGAGCAGGGAGGCAGTGGATGAATTTCACTTGTGCAGCTGGACCATATAAAAATATGATATTCATAACCAATGTGTGTATTTTACTGTTCCTGAGCTAGCCCAGTGGGGCAGAGCAGTACCATATGAAGAAGTGTTTTCCCAAGCAGTGGCAATGGAAGATGGTATTTACAGAAAGGATGTGAGCCTGGCCATATTTTGTGGTCTTATCCCTTCCTACTTTTCCAGCACCCAGAGCTTGAATGGAGAATATCAAGAAGTATAGCTCTGAGTGTTCCCTTCCCTTCAGTATCTCCTTATAGATCTATTGCCCACAAATTTGTCTGATGACTTTAGAGAATTGACAACACTCTCTTCTTTTACGAACTAGTTTAGCAAAAAAAAAAAAAAAAAAAAAAAAAAAAAAAAAAAAAAAAAAAAAAAAAAAAAAAAAAAAAAAAAAAAAAAAAAAAAAAAAAAAAAAATTCAAGAAATTTAATACCAGCTGTGTGAAAACAGTGGTTTAGCTCACCTTTTAAAACTATTTTTCTGCTGGCACTTGGTCTTCTGAAGGATTTGGTGAGCAGCAGTTCATAACTCACTGTGAACAAACCACTGCTCTCAGGAATCTGTAAACCATGTTGATATCTCTCATCAGCTTTGTCCACTCCCAACTGCAGTCTGGACTTTTCAGTCTGTCTACACATGATAGCACTGTTCATTTTAGCTGTCCTGTTCTGTCCCTTCTCTGATTTCACTGTACAGTGTACCAGTGCCCAGGCACTGGTGGCAGTGTGCTGCAGGGTGGTCTCTGAGAGGAACAGTCAGGACTGGGCTCTGCTGGACACAGGCAGCTCCAGCTGGGACCCACCAAGGGCACAGCCAAGCCCCTCAGTCAAGCAGGTGTATCTGAAGGGGACCCACCTGGGATTATCCAAGGCCTGGTTGGAAGGGGCTCTGAGCAACCTGGTCTAGTGGAAGGTGTCCTTGCCCATGGCAGGGGTGTTGGAACTAGATGATCTTTTAACTCACTTCCTACCCATTCTATGATTCTATGGCTCTAAACTCCCCCTGCTCTTTGTGACTGCCCTGCCTGAATGGAGGGATGCAGTGTAACCTGTAGGGATAACAGGGGGACAGAGAGGAGGAGCCTGGCATGAAAGAGCAGCAAAGGATGGAAGAAAGGCATTTTCTCCAAGTTTCTCCAAGTTTTCCCCTAAATGTTTCATTATTTTCTGTTTGTTTCCTTATATATCTGAATCAGTAATTAATTATGTTATACATATATAAATCAGTAATAAATCAAGCTAATTTCCCCACAGATTTAGTCTGGTTTGCCTTCAACAGTATTTTGTGGGTGATTTCAACCCACAATCTATTTTTTCCACCTTTTTTCTCCCCTTCGTTGTGCTGAGAGTAGGGGGTGAGCAAGTGGCTGGTTGGGAATTTTTTTCTCTCTGAGGCCAATCTATCTCACCTTTTTGAGAAGCAGAACCCAAAACCTCTCACGCTACTGAAGATGAGGGCACATAATGGTTTCATATACATTCAAATACATCCAGTTCTGTCTTATTCTCAGTGCCCTTCACAGGCTATTAGGTTTTGTTCATGTTGGCTGCTGCACCACACTGAGCAGAGTTTCATCTTAATTTCACAATGTGACATTCCCAAACGTTACACTTTGCTCTTAGATTTAGTTCTTCAAAATAGGACTTTTCTTTATATTTGAACCATGCCCAAATCTCAAGAGAGAATCTGGGTTCTACCACGACATATAATATTTATTAGCATCTGTCTGCTTGATCCTTAGTGAAGACATATTTTTTAATACAATGTAGGTGTTGAAATAAAAATATATATGTTTTAAATCAGTGACTAGAATAGAAAATATATACATTGCACTTCTTGTTTTTTCTGAATCTGCTACCTAAGGTGGATATAGAAACTACTAATAAATGTTAATAGAATATGTCCTGAGCACCACTTCAGATGTTCTTGATCTACAATTCAAGATTTGTGTTGCCAAAATACAGAATATCCAGTGGGAAACATCCTGTTCTAAAGAACACAGGATTAGTAGTTTTGAGAAAAAAAATAAAATAAATAATTCTATGTTTTTACCTAATGGTGTGTCAACCAAAATTGCATTGAAGAGTTCAGTAGGGTTTGAGGCAATGCTGACTGCTTCCATTTGCTCAAAGCTCCCCAATGGATGGCACTTGGGAACAAGTTCAGCTATGGGTCGCTGATGTAATGTGCCAGTTATTAAAAGAATTACGTTGTCAATCATATAGCTGTATCTGTATTGGAAAGAAAAAGTAAAAATAAATTATTTTTATAATCAGCTTTCACTTGACAAAATAAAAAGCCAACATTTTTGAAAATTAGCCATAATACTGAAGTATTATCAGAATGTATGTTCATTCTGTATCAATAGCTCATCAAAGATCAACAGAGTTTTAAAACAGCAAGTAGATAACACAGCACTAGTTTTAAACCTGATTGATACCTGACTGAAATTACTAATTTAGAAAATGTACACTTTTAAAGAAGGTGGTACTGATACATGACTATAATAAACATAACAGGTGAGAGATGTAGATTCACTGTAACAAGTGACAATGAGTGGTATCCAAAGCAAATCACCTGAGCTAGCAACTTTTCAAGGTTGGTATTTTTTTATTTCATATATGCCATCTGGACAAAGAAATACATGGGAATCTTGGCACTAAAACTGCGGAGTTCATGTAGATGGTCCAATCTTAGGTTTTCTTCTCACTCAGTTTTAAACATCTTGCCATGAGGAAGCTAAAAACAGGCTCTTACAGATTTCTTCTCTATTATGTAATTTTTTCTTTTGAGTAGAAGTTTTCTATCAGCTTTATACTGCTTTTAGTGTCAAAGGGGCTGAGAAGAGTCTTGTCAGTGACTCGGAAATTCTCTTGAATGCCAGTCTTGAGTTCACATTGTTGACTAAGAACACAGCTAGAAATATACAGGATTAATATGTTCTCACCCAAAATATGTGACAAGGACTTGAAGATCTGGTGGAATGTAGTTCAATGATTTGTGTGAAATATCTTTAACCAGTGTACCCATTATTTAAAAAAAAAACAACAATGTGCAAAGACTGTGCATACACATCTATACATTTATGTCAATGAGTGTGAGAAAAGAACTGCCAAAACTTAATGCTTTCATTTTTCTGTCCTTGAAACAAAATGTAAACATTGTTTGCCCACAGGCGTCCTAGGACAGCCTTCAACATCCTGTTAATATATCAGCCTAAAAGTGATCATCTACACATGACCAGAAGAAAAAAAGATACTTTATTTTTTACTGTTATAATAAAAATGGTCCTTGAAATTTAGTTGAACAGATAATTGTCCTTGTTAGTATATATTAAAAGTATAAGATCAAGGGGAGTAAATAGGTAAAATATCATGCTAGTATTTTGCTAGTCTTTGTTGTTATACTGTTATAAAGCAGATCCTTGTTCTTAAAGTTGTTTAAGCCACTTGTTTGCAAGTTTCATCTATTTATGATGGCATTGAGATCAGAGCTTTCTCTTCATCCAGCATCAAGCAGCAGCCAAGCTTTCAAATAAAGCTACTTGGCTCCAAGTACCTTGCAATATGCCATATAAAGTCTCCCTGGTTTTTTATTTGGTTCAAGTAGTATAAAAATTATGACAGATGTACGATATGTTGTCTTTCCCCTTTAAAAAAGGCATACAATTTGCCACATGCCTAGGAATTAAATCACTTCCCTGTACCTCATGAAATTATTTTTTTTTTCATTAATTACACCCCCCCCGCAATGTAGTTTTCCAAGTTATCTGACATAGTGTTTGAAAATTGTAACAATTTTTTAATTAATTAATTTTTCTGCCACTGTTCACATAAAGAAAACTGCTTCTGTTCTTTAAAATAATTAGATGTAAAGACAACAGCTCTTCATACACACATACATTTTCAGAATTTATAGTAGCAAGCAAAGTATGTAAATGTAGCAGTATCAAAGTATTTTTGCTGTTTTTTTAAAGCTTAGTAGAAATTCCAGTATATTGCATTTACACTATTTAACTGCTTTTTTCTGTGTGATAAGATATGTGGTAAGCTATTTTACTACTATGTGGTAAGCTATGTGGTAATATTACTTACGTGACAAAATTCAGAAAAGTGGCAAGTGGTTCAAAAGCATGGTTTCTAAAGTAATGAAATTCTGTGAGTAGTTTTGTTTTCAGTTTTTCATCGATGGTGGAAACAGTGAGAGGGCCAGTTTCGTTAGCCAAGAAGTTGCCATAGTCTGTAGTCTGTAGATGTAACTTCAGATCTGAAATCAAATTCAGGAAAGATCATGAAAATAAACTGCCATATTGTCTGCAACAAATTTTTTTAAAAATTTTAATTTCTAATATATTTTTATATTAAGCAATTGATCATACTCTATTGGAAATTTTTTTGCATGGATCTAATATAGTCTAAATGCAAAATGGATGTAAATTTGTACTGCCTTCTACCAGTAAGACTTTCTTCATACTGTAGGAAAGAACAAATAATTTATGCCTTTGTCAGAAGTTTAACCATCAGCTTTCATTTTCAGACATACCAGACAGGCTGTTACTCACTACTGTCTTAGTCACTCCCTCATCAGGTTTGTTCAATGTTTCGATTTTACTGATTTGCACCATTATAATGTGTCAGTTGTTTTGTCTGCTGCACTCTCATGAGCTGTATTAATAGGAATAATCCTTTAACTTTGGTAAGATCTTAAATAATCCCAAGAAACATCTAAATCTCAAGTAAGATTATAATCTTTTGTTATCAGGCTGCCTGAAGAAGTGAACACATCTTGACTAGCACACATTCTGGACTCCAAATGGATTCTGCAGTGGAGCACTTGAAAGGGGAGAGTTTACACTTTCTTATCATTTCTGGTTTGGCTTTCTCTGATTTATGGCTGCCACTAGCAAATTCTAAGAAGCTGTTCCAGAAACTTGGGTCGTTGTGACATTTTCTGTTTGAGCTTTCAGCCCTGGTGACTGGGGAAGAATGAGTTGTTTTGACCACAAAGTTAAAAGAAGCTTTCAGGATATCATAGAATTAATATGACAAATTTTCTCTGCTAGCCATTTTTTAGCAGGAGGCATAAGCAAGCATTTGAATTCGTTCTTGATGTTCAAAACAGTTTAATGTTTTCTTTTAGAAAAGGTCCCACTGCAGAGCATAATTGTGCTCAAATGCTATATTAAAACTATCGTAAATTATAGCTACTATTGTAAATTATAGCTTGGGACACTGTTATATGATTTGGGCATTTATAATAATTAGATTTCTATGTGAAATCTGAACTGATAATTAGGAAAAAGGACAGCAACACTCCCACTGATGGAAAGAAGGTTGTACCTGTAAGGAAGTTAATTTGCAGTTAGCAAGGTAAGCACTGATCAGTACAGTAGCCACTTTTGCCTATTTCCCAGTGTGTATGCTTCCTTAGTATGCAATAAGGCTGCCTACACTGAGACTTAAGGCAAAAGAACTCATACAGTGTGAAGCAGACTCCTACATTTAGCACTGTAGCTTACTGAGATAAACTATTTCATAGAGTCTTCTATGCAAGTTGGCTGTCCCTCAGGGTTGCTCAGTCCTGTCCAATCTGGCCATGAATGTTTCCAACCTCTCTAGGCAACCTCTTGCAGTGTTTAACCGCTTCTCCTTTTAAAATGTTTTTTCCTTATATTTAGTCTGAATGTATTCTCTTTTAGTTTGAAATTATTGCCCCTTGTCCTATTGCTACATACCCTATTAAAAAGCTTGTTTCTATCTTTCTTGTAATTCCCTTCAGATACTGAAAGTTGGCAATAAAGTCTTCCTGGAACCTTCTCCAGGCTCAGCAGTCCCAACTGTCTCAGCTTTTCCTCGTAGGAGAGATGTTCCAGCCCTCTGATCATCTCTGTGGCCCTACTCTGGACTCACTCCAACAGGCCCAAGTCCTTCCTTCCTGAGCTGGGGACCCTGGAGCTGGACAATGCTCCAGGTGGGGTTTCAGGAGGGCAGAGCAGAGGGGGAGAACCACTTCTCTCCTTGCTTTAGGTGCAGACCAGGATACAGTTGGTTTTCTGGGCTGTGAGCACACATTTTCAGCCCACGTCTGACATTTTGTCCAAGAGTAGTAGACATCCAAGTCCTTTTCCAGAGGTCTGCTCTCAATTCTTTCCTGCCCCAGCCTGTGTTGATACCAGATATTGCCCAACCCAGGTGCAGGACCTTACCCTTGGCCTCATTGACTCTTGTGAGATTCCCATGGGCTCACTTCAGCTTTGCTGGGTCCCTCTAAATGACATCCCATCCCTCAGTTGTGTCAACTGCACCACTCACTCAGTTTGGTGTCACATGCACCACTCAGTTTGGTGCCACCTGCAAACCTGTTGACAGTGCCCTCAATCCCACTGTCTATGTCACTGATGAAGATATTAAACGGTCCTGGTCCCAGAAAGGAGCAGGGGCTGCTCAGCACTGAGCTCCGTCTGGACTTTGAAGCATTGCCCACTACTGTCCCCATGCAACCACTCAGCCAGTTCCTTATCCACAAAATGTAGTCTATTCATCAAATCCATATCAAATCACATAACACACTTAGAAAAAGTCATAGTTTCAGTACTGACTTTGATGTAGGAAGAGGAGAAAGAGAATACAAATATGAAAAAAGAAACACAATTGAAGAAAAAGGGAAAAGTCAGCAAGACTGAGATAAATAAAAATGCTGTTATACACAGAAATTAGTCTATGTAAGACCAAGTTTTTAAAAGCTCATTAATATTTTGATTTTACATATACATTTCCTGTGAAAATTGTTCATTCCTACTTTTCTCCTTTTTTGTTGCAAAGAGTATAAAAATACTTGGCATATGCTCAGATTAGATAATACTACTTTATTAGATGCAGAGCTCAATTCCAACTTTTCTCAATTTCTTTTCAGATAAACCACAGATATCTGCTTTAGCCACACTGCGTAAATGCCTTTCAAACACAGTACTTTTCAGGTGTTAACTGCACAAAGCAGACTGTAAATATCAGCCCCAAGTATTGAACATTCTGTATTGTGATTAACATCATCATAAGATGAACAGAAACAAAAACCTGCTGATCAAGAGTAGTTTCATAAGATTTTGTTACTGTTCCTCAGTTCTCTGATTGAGTGGATTCATAAACCATGCCTTAATATAAGGCGTGAAAAATATTATCTATAATTCATTAAGTAGCCTCACCCATCTCCCAAAAGCTATGGAGGAAATGTTATACCCAAGAATGTTTGGTTTATAACCCTGTCAGTCACACAGCCTGCTTTATAGATAGATTTATTTAATTGAATAAATAAATGTCAACATGCATACTGAAGGTAAGAAAAAATATTCAACTCTATCTCATGGTCTTGGCCAAAACAATCATCCACAAGCTCCAATACCATATAATATCAACCAGGAATGTCATAATTAGAGTTCACATCAAGACAGAGTTCAGTGCAGCTTAGAGACTGCACTGGTTGACCTAAATTGCAGTTCTTTCTTTGCTATGGCTGTCAGATGCTTGCACTAGTGCCATGACTGGGTGACTAAGCAGGAGTAGATGGCTGAGCATTACAGGGGCCTCAGACATTCCTGTTCACCAAAACCTCTTATTGATGGTAGCTGCCCTTTTCTCAGGGTCTCTTGGAGACCTACACAAGACTCTGGCCTTTGTCTTAAAGATCCCTAGGAAAGAAAATTCCTGTATTTCAGCTGCCATCCATTCATTTTGATTGTCATCCATCTGCATTGCCTATTTCTTAATTAAATTACATGCAGGAGAACAACTTATGTATGACCTTAAATAATTATATGAGTTTACTCACAACTGAACAGCAAACAAACACAATCAACTAAAGTATGACCAAAAGGAATTAATGCACAGAGGGAGACTAGTTTAAGATGAATGCAGTTAAGACAGGAATGATCCTGATCAAAAAGAAAGAATAAATATTGTGAGAACTTTAACAAAGTGTTAACCTGGTCTCTTGGCATCAAGTTCATGGTAATTTGTCTGACCCCTCACAATAACCAGCTAGGTGCAGTTTTCTTTCAGGTAACACTGTTATTACAGCCACCATGTGCTGGCAGGCCCTGACTCTGGTAAGTTAAGTAAACTTGTTTCAGTGATTCTGTCGGGATGAGAGTTGAGATGCTTGTCCTTCTGTGACCTAGCCTCCTTTCTACAGAGCAGAAGTCTTTCTATCACAGAAAAAAGCAAGAGAAGAACAAAATAGTGCATTTAAACACCTCCACACTCCCACACCCCCATATTCTACTTCAAGACTGTGAGTGAGGTTGCTCTGGGAACCTCATTCCCTTGAAACAGATGATGCCATAGGGCCAAACCAGTAGCAAGCAGCCCATGAGGTAGCTCCATGGAAATCATAGTTCAACCAAGCCAAAGAGGATGTCAAAGTGGGACTGAAAGCCTCTCCTCCTGTCTGTATGGACCTGAATCGAGAGGACACAGTGGTATCTGTTAGGTTTTTTTTAATTTCCATCTCGCTTTTACACTTTGTGATTATCAAGCAGATGGAAAGCACTAATCTACAGTTTTTCTTGTGGTTCTTCAGTAGTGATGTTATGGTTTCCTCTCTAGAGATACCAAAACCACTTTGAAATTAAAAGATCTTTTTGCTTCTGTTTATGGGTTACTTTGAGTGGTTTTGATTTTTGTTTTCTGTTTGTTTGTTTTAGCATATTTATAGTGTCTTTAGCTAAGGTCATTTTTGTGGTGTTGTGCTAAGCCACAGAATGCAGAATAGGGTAAATTTATTGCCTTTTAAGGTGGAGGCATGATGGCACTACTGAGCAAACATCACATCACTACAGCACAGATCCTTGTGCTGAATATTTCAAATTTAAATAAAAGACAATGTATGAAATTTACTTTAGAAATTTACTTTAGGTAGGGGTCTGTGGGTTTGATGCACTGTACACTCATGGTGAAAGTTCAGTATTACAGCATCCTACATGCACAGAGAAATAAGTGTGTTTAGCATCATGTAGAAATCCGTTATTTTTATATTTCTTATATTTTCATTATAAATAATACATTTGGTAGGTAAATGGTGGGAATCTGTTAGCTGTCTACAATAAGTAGAAAAAAGTTACAGTGGTGAAAAAGATGCCATTGAACAGAGAGAAAGGGGAAGTGACAGTGGGTAGTAGAGATGTGCTTGTAGGAGGGATGCTGAAGGCTGCTGCTGCTATTGATGAAATTATTTGCATTTTAAAGTTGAATGAACACTATAAAAAATAAGTTTAGAAAATAAAATGAATTGTTCTTCCTATTATAAATTTTAATTAGGAATGGTTTTTATCTCTGTTGTTACCTGTCCATCTGCTGCATGCTCTTAAAAATATTAAAGGTTTATATATCTTAGAAATATTTGAAAACTACCTCATGGTGGTAAATAACTTCCTTATAGCATGACTTAAAATTTAGGGTTTTTTACCTATTCTAAACTTAACGTGAGAAAGTATTCTTTTGTGAAGGGTCCAAAAAAATCCCTTTTGCTTATATGTTTTTAACTGTATCTTTTCTTCTTATTCAGAAGCAACCAGGATTTTCTTCCTTCATGAAGCTTTGGATGACATCATTTATTGAGCTCATTTGCAGGGAGAAGTGAAGTGACAACACAGTTTAGTTATTCTACCAAACTGTCCTTTGTGTCTTTTATAGATGTTTGAAGCTGTTACCTTTTTTGAAGTCTGTATACTTATGCAGCAGGAATTTTTCACTTGAAAATTAAATACAATATCAGTATTTTCTGTAGAGTCTGTAGGTTGCATAGATCACAAATGCTGGAACAAACAGGGTAAAGAAACAGTTGATTTTGTCCAGCTGACATAAGGAATAAATTTCATTTCTCAGTATGATTGTATACATCTGTTTTGTGTGAACTGCCATTGTATTTAGTGGAGAGCTGGTACATCTCTCCAGGTTATCAGCAGAAGGAGACACATACACTTGGTCTGTTCAGTAGTGTCTAGGTTCCATTGACTGTATTGATAAACTCTTCTTTAACTATAAGAAGAACTTTATTCTGCAGACAGGTAAATATCTACATGCATTTCTTTAAATGTAGTTGTTTTAATCTGAGAGATGAATGGCAAGCAATCTTCCCAGATTTATGTTATTATTTCGTTTAGACAGCCTCAAAACTCTGTTGGATATAGGAATCATCATTCTTTCCTTTTTCTTACTCCAAACACATTACTGCATGTACAAATCAGCCAAAGCATAAAATAGAGTGAGCTTATTCATTCTCCTTCTTCCTTTTCCAAATTGATCTAATAGACTGCAAGTTATAGAAATTGAGTGTACAATCATAGCTTTCACTTTGCAGTCAGGAAAATGAGCTTTATGTTCCTTTAGAAAGGTGATTTCTTCCTGTTGCGTTTTTTTCCTGTCAAGTGTCTAAAGGTATGTCATATGATTCTTTGGTACAAGTCTGTCTTCATCAGGCTGTGACCAGTCTTGGCCACAGCAGAAAGCTGTTTTGGAAACTACTGTGTAACTACTGTGTGTTCTCTTTATTACTATGGCAAAGTCACCTTGAAAACCTTGAAAAGAGCTTTTTTTTTTTTTTTTTTTTTTTTTCCCTATTTCCCTAAGTTTTATCTTTGAGGAGTCTAGTTTTCTGTTCCTGGTAAGCTGAGTCTCCACCACTTCCCTAAAACTCAGGAAGTAAAAAATTACTAAAATAATGTATTTTATAGAGAAACTCAGAGCCAAATAGCAAGCTTTTAAAAAGATTTTGGAAACTGTTTTATACAGCTGAAATGGTATGAAAGTTCCAGACCTGAACTGTTCTATAGCATGGTTAAAATCTGTGAGAAGGTTGCCAATCTCCGTAAAAACTCTGTGCATGAGATCTCTAAACCTTATCAGTAAACAAAAAAGCCCCATTGTCTGCATTGCTTAGCAAATTACAGCCTGCACACAAATCACAGTCTATGGAAACCTATTAACTTAAATACGAGAACAGTTCTTCAAAGGACGTCGGGATTGTCTATGGGTTTAAGATAAACTCTCAGTAGTTCAGTCTTTTACCTTCCCTTCTTCAAACACCTAAGCAACAGTATTTCTCCTGAATAAAATAAATGATCAGACTTACCTTCTAGTGTCTCACACTGAGCTAAATTGACATAGTCCGCACTTGTCAAGATCCCAGCTTTGAACCCTCGGACCAGACCCTCCAAATAGCCATGGTCCACATTGAAGTAAAACTCTGAGTATCCTGGCATGGAGAAAGAAGATATTTCTGGGTACTTGATGGCACTGAATGTCTGCCACCAACTGTTTTTCCCCTCTTTGGAAGGAGTGACAAATAGTCACGGAATTCCTGCCAGCCTATGATTGTGTTTTACCAACTGGTTTCTTCCTGTTTCTTGTTCCTACTGTAGTTCCAGTACAGTTGATGCTTACACAATGGCCAGCCAGTAAACCAACTCCCTCCTGTCAAAGCCAGAAAATGAACCTGTTATTGCTGGAAGATAAGCCAAAAAGGAAGCACAAGATTTAACCCCTGCTTGCAAGGATACTCTACTGCTTGGAGAATGAGAAAGCATATTACAAAACTTGAATAAAATCGTATTATAAACAGTTATCTGAGAATGTCTACAGAGAAAGTATCTCTGCAGCAAAATAGTAGTCTGTGGCAGAACACAGCCTATTCAAGGAGTTTAGATGGCTCTGTATTGTTTTTTTTAACATTTTTGCTTGCTGGAAATTTTCTGCTGCTAATCTCTATCATTAAACATATATATGAATTATAAGAGTCTTCTAATAATTAGTGTGAATATTAGATGATGTGCAAAGGTAAAGGTTTTTATAGAGTTTGACTTTCATTGTCCTTGAAAGTCAGTATCTAGAATTTGCTTCAAAACCATAGCTTGTCCCAGTGTGCCACCCACACCTAACAACACACACTCAGAGCTTTGAGCATGTTTGGAATATTGTGTTGGCTGAAGGCATGCACCATGGCTAGTCTACTGACATTTGTGGTGAAATGTGGCTGCAGCAAGAGTTGTGAGTTGGCAGCTAGTGGGACAAGGCTGTGACTATGAGACCTCCTTCCCTGTCCTGGGAGGGAAGAAATGATAAGACCTCAGTGCTCATCAGATTATTCCTGTCTATACCACGCTGCTCCTGTCACAGCAAGGCCTGGAAGGCTACACAGTGCGGCACAAGATTTGCTGCCAAAACATCCATCCCCTACCTCCTCCAGGGAGGTCACTAGCTGGCTGGCTTCTTGGCTGGCTGGCTGCTCCAATGGGCAGGAGGCTCCTAGCCAGCCAGCCAGCCAAGAAACCAAAGGAGCCAGGGGAGCAATACAACTGCACCTTGAGGGTCAAGTCAAAATTGTCTCAGGCTGGATATTATCCCATCTGTAACCCAGGGGAAATAATGACAGGGGAAATAATGACAGCATTTAGACATTTTGAAAAATCATGTGCTCAGACATGCAAACTGTATTTAGTTGGAAGTTCAATGGGGCCAAGAGTATTGGAGTTTGCTCCCCATACACTGGGTTTACAGTTTTAAGTCACTCAGTTCTTGGCACTGCAGAGTTAACCCAGCTAAAGAAGAATGAGACAGATTAGCCCTGTTAGAAAATAGAAACAAAACATTTCCCTCCTCCACACAAACAATTTGGTTTTGTCTCCCAAGTCTGCATGCCAGCAGTATTCAGAACCTCCTAATACAATAAATTTTCAGGAGAATTTTGTCAATGATGTTTCAAAAGTCAGAGAGACTTTTCAGGATACCTGACTGCCATCAGTGCTTCCTTACTAACATGTGCCGATAACCACTTAACTTAAACGTGCTTTTTTTTGTTTTTGTAATCCGCTTTGTTCCAGCATGTTTTGCTCAACAGCCCCTGTTTTTCACCTTTTCAAAGAAAAGTAATGGGGAGAGCTAATAATGATTGCTGTGTACACTGAGAGCAGCATGTAGGTTTAACCCACAGTGATGTTATGTGTTGTATAAACAAGTCAGGTCTCACAGCAGCTGAGTTCAGGCTCCCCCAGCTGCAATCACAGCGTCTCAGAATGTGGCACACATCCAGCTGGGGACAGTCCAAGGTTGTGCTCCCTGTGAGCTTCCAAAGCTTCAGACAGCAGAGCCAGTGCAGAAGTGGCTTTGCAATACATCCTAAATTTAGTAAGGTCATGTTAATACTGCCTGGCAGGTGTAAATACCACCGCTGGTGATCCTCCAGTGGGAAAGTACTACCATGGGTCTATAAATGTTGATGGGACTATCACTTGAAGTATAATCACTCAGCAAAGTGGTCTAATTAAATCAGTGTAATTTTGAATGATTTCAGGAAACTGGAAAATCAGAATAAAGCCTTAAGCAATTTTATCTACTAAGGGATAAGGTGTCAGACAATTTGATCCAGATTGATAGCCTGCATTTGGCAACATCAGAAAATCCTCAGTTCTCTGATTTTTGTTGAAAGAAAAGCTGAGGAAAAGAGACATCTTTAACAGCAATTTAAACATGATGCATATAGTTAGTTAGTTCATGCACTAAAATTTTATGCAAAAAATATATATATTCAGTATTGTTGCAGTCTATCAATATAATCTTATTTCTTATAATGCGTGGCTTATATGGTTTCTTTCACACTTGTAGCGGGCACGGTTTTATTAAATATTATTAGGGTTTATATTAATGATTTTATTTAGGTAGAGCTGTGGATTTGCTTTAACAAATTTCCATGTGAGAAAACACTATACTCTCAGCTGCTACATTTGTGGAGTGCAAAGGCTGAGATATTTTTAAAATAATCTTTTAGCAGAGAGCTAAACAAATATTGATCATGTGCCTGAGAGGAGGAGTAATTTCAGGTTAAGCAACACTAACAACACAAAGCTCTTCAGATTTAAGTACAGAATTTAACCTTTGATACTGCAAGTTTTCAAGAGACTTTGAACCAAAATGCATATATTACTTTACCACAAGAGGTCATCATAACACTACTCTAAGCCACATTACTCCAGTATTTTTTGCCTTCACTGAGAGAAACTTGGAAAGAAACAAAAAAAACCGGTATTTTTTGAATGTGGTTTTTTTTCTAATCTAAAATTAACAATTAATCTGCTATATATTGATTATTTACTTAGAAGTTACAAACAAAGTCTTTCCATGTTACCAATGTTTTGGCTATATCCACAGATATTCTCTGAACTTCCTCTATTATTTTTCTTTTTTTAACACAGTAAACAGCTCTTAGCCACGAGGTTTATAGCGAAGAACAAATGACAAAGAATCAGCAGAAGAGTGAGTAACTGGAATTTTGGCTAAATCACATGAATTCAAGGTTACTTTTTTTTTTTTCATTAGAAGTATGTAAAGATACTATTTTTTCATATTGGAATATCATTTAGAAGTCTCTATCAGATATGTGCTTAAGTTTTGCTTTAGTGTACACAGAAACAAAACTTACTAAAGTCTTGCCTATGCAATTGTTTGCAAAATAATTAGCATTATGAGTGACAGATTCACTCTTACCAGTACACACTGTTGCTTCAATGTATGGGCAAAACAGATTTCTTAATTTGTGCTTATATTGACTCTTTTTCTTTGGCTGTTGAAGATGTTTTGACCTAATTTCATATCCTGTCAGTGGAAAATGCTCCTTCCTTACTTTCAAAAACATAGCCTGTTTTTCCAGATGTTGCACACTCCCTCCCACCAAAAAAAGAATATTTTTTTCAGATTGGTTCAATAAAAATTATAAGATGTGCACTACTCAGATTAAAACTATTTTAATTTTTTAACACAACTTATTAATATCTAAACAGATTTAGATTATTTTGGAATGCTGTGTTTCTAGAGCATTTTTTTGTTGCATATCTTTTTGCTGACATTGAAAGGCAATTACATCAAAACTCTCTAACATTTGTAAATTCTGTAATGTTCCAGTGTAAATTTCTGATGGGTGTGACACATTCCTAAAAATCTTTCCAAGATGTGACCTGTTGAAATACCTTATTTTCTGAAAAAAATAACAGGACAAATTTGACTGCAATATGTAAATTGATGTTCAGCCTTTCTGAGGTTCTGAGTACCTGAAACTCTTGTTTCATGTGCTCAGAGCATCACAAACAATTGGATACTGCATGGACCCTAGCACTCCATGGAGTGTTACAAGTATGCTGGTATGGATAGCAGAACTATAGCTCAACCACAGAGAACACAATTACACTTACCTTGTTTCTGACCTTTGCTCAACTGCTCTCACCCATGAAGAAACAGTCCAAATGTAGTTAAATTTGTGGCTGCTTAGAACTTAAAATGTATTAAATAAATAAATATCTTGTATTTTTATAAAATAGATTAATATTGAGAATGATAGACTATATGTGTACAGACATAATCTATCAACCATGCTTTGTAGCTATTTGATTTAATGATGCATTTCATGCAGATCATCTTGATAGCTAAGCCCTCTTGTGCAAAAAAAAATCTTGTACTCAGCTGACACACCCTGTGTTAACCTGCACCCTGACCAATTTACTCTGTCTTTGATGAGAGAATTTGCAGCAAATATGCACACCTAACTTTCCTATCATGTGGTTAAATTTTTATTGAATTTACATAACATGCATCTTTTACAACTGTTCCTTGTTAGAAGTGGTTTTTTTTTTTGATATTGGATTCACAAACATCACTCACTGATGTTATGAAATATCAAGGAGCTCCCTTCCCCCCTTCTTTGCTTTCAAAAGATAATCTAGCAGCTTTTTAGGTCAGCAAGCCTTTTGGTTTTTAGGTCTTTGTTCAAAGAATTACATGCCAGTGTAATAAAAAGGTCTTTATGAGAGACTTAGAATGGTAAGTCTATGGACAGAAGCCAGGATAAAATCATTATCAGTAGATATAAACCTAGAGAAAAGCAGATTTGAGCAAACTAACACAGCTCTGGAATGCTTTCAGAAATGAAGATGGAAATTTACAGGGTTTCTACACTCTCTTACAAAATTGGGCAACTTTGTTCTGAATAATTTGTACTTGTGTTCACTGATATTCACATGAACTCTGCAGCCTCCTGTTCTGGCTAATTCTACTGAGGATGGCAAGATCCTGTGTTAACCTCCAATCTTTCTCTGCACAGTGTCAGTACTTCTTTTCAGTTATCTTAATTGTTCACCCTCGTGAGAAGAGTTCATGCAGACAAGCACCCTTTTCTCTTCTTCATGGATCAGTTATTCATTAACTGTCAGAAAAGTCACAATCAATAGCTAACATCTTTAGATTTCTTCAGGGATTCTGAAGCTTTATCCT